GAGCATTTTTTTTTTTTTTTTTTTTTTTGCATGTTGATTTATACTCAGGTTTTTGAAACTGTGATCTCCCTTAAATGAAAATTTCTGATTTTACCTAGCACCTGCGATTAAGCCATTCTTTATCATTTCTAGTTTCCTGGAGAGGAAGCAACATATTCAATACAGTGTTCACATAAACAGGGAAATATTTAAGAATCAAAAAATACTCTTTTCCCTTTGAATTTGAAATTTATCTTGTAAAGCAATTCTTTTTATCAGCAACATTTAGGCTTACAGGTGAAATGCCCAGTGATTTTGAAACATGAGTTTGTTTATCGTCTTCTAGAAGCACGAATACCTCAGTGAGAAGCAGACAGAGAGTTGGGAGAAAGTATTGTGCAGTTAATGTTTTGTTCCTCCTCTCAGCTGAGCTGGGATTCATCTCTGGCTTCACATTACAAGCAGCTTGGATCTGTATGCAGAACTTACACTTCTTCCCGGCTTGGGCCTCTCTATCCTTCTGATTTTCACAGAGCCATCCTTTCCCTGCAGTGTTTTTCCTGATACCTCATGGGCTAGGGTAGAACTCTTTACACAGGACCACGATTACCTGATGCTCTAGTGTTAAGAACTCTTTACATAGAACGCTAATTCCTCGCCTACTCATTGTTCTCCCCTCACTTAACTCATGAGCCAAAAACTACATCAGCTCCGTATACAGCAGTATCCTCGTTCTAGTGCTCAATAAATATTGGTTCAATAAATTAATGGAAAGTATATTACATTTTCATGCTTTTTGATGTCCATGGGAGAAGCATTTTTAGGTTATGTTTATTAGAAATTTATCTTAGTTTTCTCTAGAAAATTATGGCAATAATGCTAACTTTCTAAAGCACTTGTAAGAAGGTGTGTGTAGGTCATCGATTCTCAACAGGGGATGATTTTCCCACTCCAGGGGACATATATGTGGCAACATCAGGAGACATTTTGGGATGCACACCACAGCCCCACCGCACAGAATTATCTGCTGGAAAATGTCAGTAGTGCTTAGGCTGAGAGACTGGGGTGGTTGAAAGTGCATAAAGCTTGGCAGGTCAAGGCTGATTTTATTTTGTTCTACACAATGGAGTTCACCTCTTTGGATATCGTTAATAATAACAATTACATAGAGAATAATCAGCATTATTACGTTTTTGCCATGTACAGACATAAGTTTTTTTACAAGTATTATTTTATTTAACCCTGTCACCTGTGCTGTGAGTTAGGAACTATTATTACCATTTTTCAGATAAGGAGACTAAGACTTGAAAAGAGAAATGTGTATTCAAGATCCTGCTGCTACTTGGTGATAGAAGTAGGATGAGAACTCAGGATCTATACTTGTTGACCATTATACTTTCTTTCTCTGTAAATATGGTCCCCAACTTAAGGTCTAAAAGGATCTCTGTCTTCATTATTCGGTAGGAACCACAGCTGGAAATGCAAAGAAAATTTAAATTTAAAAATTTAAATTTAAAAAAATCATTATGGCCTAGGTGGCTGTAATTTGACTAATATTTGTACTGATTGAAAGAAAAATACAGTGCATTCACTGATAGGTGTAAGCTGTTGTTGATACGTGGAATAGAACAAATCTGCTATATGCTATTACTTTGTGGGATTCCCAAGAAGGTCAAAGAAAGCTCTGAGAGTTTGTTTTCATTCAAAATTGAACTTGTCATAGCCGATCAACACATTGTGCTCTAGATGGGACGTTTCTCCTATTAAGGTGTATGAACAGTGACAGTTTGCCCCGTGTAATCTTATTAGGAGCTTTCTTCAGAACCACATCATCTTCTTATATAATTATAAAAGAACCACTCATGAGTAAAATATGCCTGCAAGAGAGCAAGGCACGGGGGGCAAAGGGTTGGCTGATGGGGACCTATTCTCTCCTTGCAGAGGACACAGTTCAGGAAATGGAAAATTTACAATTTGGATGCATAATAATAGTTTCTAGGCCCATCCCTGAGTTATTTGGTTGACTCCCAGTGTTAATGTCCTTGAGGCTGTTAGCTGATGAACTCTAAGCAAACACCATCGTCTTCAAGTATTGATTGTTTCTTAGCCCCTAATACTTGGCCTATAAGACAATGTAGAAGCATCTATTCTTTTCACATAGGAACTTAGAGACCCTGGTGTTGCTGTTTTTCTACCTTAGGACTTTCTTTTCCATGGTTGTTTCTATCACACTTTGAGGATTCCAGTAGAATACTCAAAAACATTACATTTGATTCTTTAGTCTCACTTTCCTAGCTCTTGCGGAAATAATTATTAATAGAACCAAACAGTTTTTTATTCTTAAATGTTTTACAGAAGTGGGCTACTGTGATGACAAGTAGCTCTTTAAGGTGCTACTAGACGTTAGTACTTGTCATCCAGAGAAACATTTTCTGTTAAGGCCAAGTGTCATACATAGTCATTGCACTGCTCCACCCAGAAGATGTAATTTACATATAAGATGTTATTTGAGACTGTCTCCCGGGGACAAAAGTGATTAGTATGCCTTATGCCTTAACTCTTCTCAAAAGAGTCATGTGACATGCTCTTGCATCTATTTTAAATCTAATAAATTAAAACATGAATGATGAAATAAGATGTTCATGGTGCTTCACAAATTTGAATGCACCCACCCCAGACTCTCGCTAACATGCAGATTCTGGGCCTGAGGTTTAGCTTTTCTACCATCTCCCTAGGTTAGGCTCATGCTACTGGACCAAGGACCACACTTGAGTACCAAGATGCTAGGGAACATTCAGATGGTTTGAAACCTGAGCTAAGGATGCCATCAGGCTGATTGCATTAAACTCATTTTTCCTATGCCACCTCAGTTATATAAATTATTCTTTAAGTCTATAGAGAGGTTTCTTTTGGAAGGAATGGCATCCTTTTCAGCATCAAAACGTATATTAGGTTTTGTAAAAAATTAAATAATGCTTGACTTTTTTTTGTTGTTGTTGTTGAGACAGGGTCTTGCTCTGTCACCCAGGTTGGACTGCAGCAGCATGATCTTGACTCACCTCTGCCTCCTGGAGTCTGACGATCCTTCCACCTCAGCCTTCAGAGTGGCAGAGACTACAGGCTCACACCACCACACCTGGCTAATTTTTCTAATTTTTAATAGAAATGGGGTTTCACTATGTTGCCCAAGCTGGTCTCGAGCTCCTGGGCTCAAGCTATATGCCTGCCTTGGCCTCCCAAGGTGCTGAGATTACAGGTGTAAGCCACCACATGAAATCAAGCCCGGCCATGCTTGATTTTTTAATAAAGCATCATATCTCTCTCTTTTTACCTGAAAAAAATCCCCTCCCACCCACCTTATATTTCCTAAACAATAAAAAATGAATTTTACCATTTCTGGTCATCAAAGGCATTTTTTTAGATGGCTTACAATCTTTTAAGTTATAGAACACATTTACAACATCCTTGACACTTAAATAACATTTCCAGTGTTCTTTTTTTCTTTTTTAATTATATTTCTAAAGATAGCTAAGGGAACAATTTCAAGTAGTTCCTCTGTGCTTTTAGATGTAAGTTCTTTCAATCTCCTTGTATTCCTGAGAATTAAGAGACTCGCAGTTTGCCATGTCCTATCATGTTAGCTGATTTTGTAGGGAAATCAAATCTGGCACCTTTCAATTAACTTCTTTACCTCTCTAATCTAAAAACAGATGGAATACTTTCTGGAGCAAGAAGGCATGATTACTATCTGTGGATTGCCTTGACTTCCTCAACTGTGTCTTCTGTCATTTCAAAATTTACTAAAAGACCTCTAATAAAAGCAGGAAAGCACAGACAGAAAGAAGGTGATGGTGTTGAAAAATAATTTACCCCTAGTCGTGAGCTTGGCAACTCTTCGAGGGATCACAATGGTGTATCTCATCTGGACCTAGAGGTCCCGAAGGAGGAGATAAGTGGAGATGTTTTGTACCCTGGAGCTTAGTCATTCTCCTCGGTGACTGAGTGCAAGCTATTCTGGAGGAAGATAAAGAGGAAGGGAGAGAAGAAGTGGAAAAGAAAAAAGTCTCTGCCCTCATACATGCTTCTGTTCACTACGTTTATACTACTTTTTTTTCCTTTGAAAAATTTTTTCTTTGAATTTTTTTTCTTTGAATGATTCGATTTTTTTAAATTACGTGGTCATGACGTATGTTAGGTAACAAAAAGAAAAATAAATAATGATTCCAATTTTGTTAAGTTTATGTATAGAAAAAAGGAAAGTAAGCAAATCGATCAGTTATCTCTGGGTGATAATATAATGAATAATCTTTATCACCTTCATACTATATTCTTTATATTTTATTCTCTAAAATTTTCCGTTAAGCCTGAGTAAGTTTTTGTATCAGAGTTTTAAAATACATTTTAAAAGGAAATGGCAACTAATTCAGCTACAGCTTTTTTATAACATCGTATATGAAAGTTCCTATATAGTAAATGTATTTGGAAATGTAATGCATTTGGAATAATTTTTCAGTAAGGATGCATCTTTTTAAGTGACTTTATTAGTCTCCATTTTGCATTTTTAAATATATAACTATGCAGGGCATCACATTTTCCCCTTCACTTTTGCTAGCTGTCAGTCATCACCTCTACCTTGAAACAAGTCTATGACCACTGGGATTTGTAGATAATTATCATTAACTGATTGAGTGGATTCAGCAGTGTGCCTGTTGTAATTAAGTGTTTGGATATGCAAATAGATGAAGAATAGATAAAAGAGAAGGTACTGATTGGGCTGTTAAATTCACAATACGATGGTTGATGGTGACAAGTAACAGCATGATGTCCTTTTGAAGATACTATATTATTTCTTGAATACCTTTTCAACTAAGTTACTGTTATTTGAAATTCCACTTAATGCCAACCCTGGCCTCTCAACATTTCATTCCAATCTCATTGTTTTTGAAAGGCTCAGGGTTATATTGGCACTTTTTTCATTACTGCCCTTAACTGACCATTTCCTCTTTTCTTTCCTACAACAGATTGCAGATTGAGCTTAACCAAGAAGTTCGTAGGCTAACCAAGGCTGGCTTGACCTACAAAAGAAGAGAGTTCGGCCTGCCCACTTGGATTTGTGTTGACACGGCTGATAACTTGCCATCACCTGTTGCCAGTGTGGAAAAATTCTCCCTGTTGAATTTTTTGCACATGGAGGACAGCAGCAAAGAGGGCAACACAGGCTGATAAGACCCAAGACAGCAGGGAGATTATTTTACCATACGCCTTCAGGACGTTCCCTCTAGCTAGAGTTCTGGACTTCCGCAGAACCCGGTCCAGTCATTTTGATTTTGCTATCTCTTTATTTTTTTTTTTTCTTTTTCTTTTTCCCACTACATTGTATTTTATTTCTGTACTTCAGAAATGGGCCTACAGACCACAAAGTGGCCCAGCCATGGGGCTTTTTTCCTGAAGTCTTGGCTTATCATTTCCCTGGGGCTCTACTCACAGGTGTCCAAACTCCTGGCCTGCCCTAGCGTGTGCCGCTGCGACAGGAACTTTGTCTACTGTAACGAGCGAAGCTTGACCTCAGTGCCTCTTGGGATCCCGGAGGGCGTAACCGTACTCTACCTCCACAACAACCAAATTAATAATGCTGGATTTCCTGCAGAACTGCACAATGTACAGTCGGTGCACACGGTCTACCTGTACGGCAACCAACTGGACGAATTCCCCATGAACCTTCCCAAGAATGTCAGAGTTCTCCATTTGCAGGAAAACAATATTCAGACCATTTCACGGGCTGCTCTTGCCCAGCTCTTAAAGCTTGAAGAGCTGCACCTGGATGACAACTCCATATCCACAGTGGGGGTGGAAGACGGGGCCTTCCGGGAGGCCATTAGCCTCAAATTGTTGTTTTTGTCTAAGAATCACCTGAGCAGTGTGCCTGTGGGGCTTCCTGTGGACTTGCAAGAGCTGAGGGTGGATGAAAATCGAATTGCTGTCATATCCGACATGGCCTTCCAGAATCTCACGAGCTTGGAGCGTCTTATTGTGGACGGGAACCTCCTGACCAACAAGGGTATCGCCGACGGGACCTTCAGCCATCTCACCAAGCTCAAGGAATTTTCAATCGTCCGTAATTCGCTGTCCCACCCTCCTCCCGATCTCCCAGGTACACATCTGATCAGGCTCTATTTGCAGGACAACCAGATAAACCACATTCCTTTGACAGCCTTCTCAAATCTGCGTAAGCTGGAACGGCTGGATATATCCAACAACCAACTGCGGATGCTGACTCAAGGGGTGTTTGATAATCTCTCCAACCTGAAGCAGCTCACTGCGCGGAATAACCCGTGGTTTTGTGACTGCAGTATCAAATGGGTCACGGAATGGCTCAAATACATCCCTTCATCTCTCAACGTGCGGGGTTTCATGTGCCAAGGTCCTGAACAAGTCCGGGGGATGGCCGTCAGGGAATTAAATATGAATCTTTTGTCCTGTCCCACCACCACCCCCGGCCTGCCTCTCTTCACCCCAGCCCCAAGTACAGCTTCTCCGACCACTCAGCCTCCCACCCTCTCTATTCCAAACCCTAGCAGAAGCCACACGCCTCCAACTCCTACCACATCGAAACTTCCCACGATTCCTGACTGGGATGGCAGAGAAAGAGTGACCCCACCTATTTCTGAACGGATCCAGCTCTCTATCCATTTTGTGAATGATACTTCCATTCAAGTCAGCTGGCTCTCTCTCTTCACCGTGATGGCATACAAACTCACATGGGTGAAAATGGGCCACAGTTTAGTAGGGGGCATCGTTCAGGAGCGCATAGTCAGCGGTGAGAAGCAACACCTGAGCCTGGTTAACCTAGAGCCCCGATCCACCTATCGGATTTGTTTAGTGCCACTGGATGCTTTTAACTACCGCGCGGTAGAAGACACCATTTGTTCAGAGGCCACCACTCACGCCTCCTATCTGAACAACGGCAGCAACACAGCATCCAGTCACGAGCAGACGACGTCCCACAGCATGGGCTCCCCCTTTCTGCTGGCCGGCTTGATCGGGGGCGCGGTGATATTTGTGCTCATGGTCTTGCTCAGCGTCTTTTGCTGGCACATGCACAAAAAGGGGCGCTACACCTCCCAGAAGTGGAAATACAACCGGGGCCGGCGGAAAGATGATTATTGCGAGGCAGGCACCAAGAAGGACAACTCCATCCTGGAGATGACAGAAACCAGTTTTCAGATCGTCTCCTTAAATAACGATCAGCTCCTTAAAGGAGATTTCAGACTGCAGCCCATTTACACCCCAAATGGGGGCATTAATTACACAGACTGCCATATCCCCAACAACATGCGATACTGCAACAGCAGCGTGCCAGACCTAGAGCACTGCCATACGTGACAGCCAGAGGCCCAGCGTTATCAAGGCGGACAGTTAGACTCTTGAGAACACACTCGTGTGTGCATGTAAAGACACGCAGATTACATTTGATAAATGTTACACAGATGCATTTGTGCATTTGAATACTCTGTAATTTATACGGTGTACTATATAATGGGATTTTAAAAAAGTGCTATCTTTTCTATTTCAAGTTAATTACAAACAGTTTTGTAACTCTTTGCTTTTTAAAACTTAAAAAAAAAAATAGTTGCTGAAGTACTGTACAGGGTTGTACAATGAGAACCCAATGCCAAGGCAAAAAGAACGAGTGATTCTTCCTTAGGATACACATCAACCACTTCGCTGTTGAAGCTGTCAGAATAAATTCCTGGTGGTCAGATGAAAGGGCAGATTAAATGGACTCATCAGGGTAAGAGGAATAATATGGGTGAAACAAGAAATGGCCCAGAGAGTTTCACACTATTCCTATACCTCCAGGTCTGGAAGACAGGTAAAAAAAATTCTGTAATGTAAGAATGGAGGTAGTTACCCTGATTTGACCCAGTGCGGGAAATGCTGAAAGCACCAGAAGGAAGCTAGTTCCTGTGAGATAAGTTAACCCGGCCTGACAGAATCAAGAAAATTGAGATGAGATTTGAAAAGACCTGAAAATGCAGGGGTTGGCTTTCCGACTGGGAACTTAAAAATCACTCTTCATGCTTCCCTGGTCCTAAGTGATAACAGAGTTAGAGACTTGAGTCTGATTTCAGTCATCTTCAGGGACCGGTCTGATGTTGTAGCAAGAAAACTCCCTTTAAAAGTGTTACTGTTCAAATCGTATGTCAGGTTGAATCACATTCAACAGAGATATATTCTAGAATAATTTTTTAGAAGAGGCTAATAAAATTAAGGGAAGAATTATATTGAATGGAATTATTTTTGATAATGAGAATTATTTGGGTAGATTCACTGAGGCTATGTCAACATGATATTTAGACCAACAGGTGATCAATGTTTTGAAAATACAACAATGACTTATTTAAAAATTACCCTTACTGCTATTTAGACAAAAACAACTGGTCAGTGGTTCTGTTATGTCAGCTGACTTTGTTAGTATCATGTTGAAATAGCTTGAAGTAATATCTTTTATCCCCTTGCAAATTCTTGTCTTCCAATCATCTCCCATGTATTTTCATAATTAGTTGTTTATAACACCTTCGTTTTTCTCCCTCTCCTCAGTATTTCAAGGAAAATTATGGATGCCAGTCTTGGCTGCACAAAATATCCATATGTACTTATACATTTTTAAATGCATACTAATTTTCACTGCTAATAATTCTGTAAGGACACATCAAAGCTGGCCAAAATAATTAATTTTTTAAAAAGCGACACCTGGTTTCCACCTTGTACTGACTTTGATCCTGTTCCACTTTTGAAATTTTATTTGTTCCTTTTCCGTCGTGGATGTTCCTCTACTTTGGCAGTTGCGGAGGGATCATCAATCTTCTGTTAGCAGGACAGCGCATGAAAAACAAACAAGTCAGAGAGTGAAGGCTTATTCCCCTAATCCTGGCAGAGCAGGGCATAGAAAAGAGAGGGATGTCCTTGCTTAATTCTAGATACTTTTGAGGCAACATCTTCATAAAACACATAGTTTAATCTTTGCCGTCCTTAGACAGAGAAGGGCTATGGATCACATACATTATCAAAAACTACTCCCTTGGAAAAAAAACTTTTTAAAATCAAATTTAAACATTTCACTCTGTGATGCATATTTCTTTTACCACTGGCCATTATTATAAGGACCCATGAAGTAAATGTCACCATCATCTTACTTGCTCTCTCTCAGCAAAATAAAACTGTGATGTGTCTTCTTTGTAAAAGTTTAGGTATAAAATGCTATGCAACTTTTTCTTTATAGTAAGAGCTTTATTTTCTTTAATAATATAGCCCAACTTATATGTTTTAATCTCCCTTCTCCCTCAGAATAAGCAGAAAATATAACTGCATCTGTATGTTAGACACAAGAATTGAAACTGTGCAGTCAGTAGAGCTGAACTTAGCTATGAATTAATTTAAATTAATTCTAAAGTGACTCTGGTTTCCATTTTAGTCTATTAGCTAGAGGGTTTTGGCTGTTGCTTTTTTTAAAGTTAGGTCCACGCAGTGAAGGGAAAAGAGTGTGAAGGTGATCAGTGTAGCACTAAGACATCTAAAGTCGAGACAATGACATGGGGGCTTGGTGTACTTAGCTGGGTAATTCCCTTCTACTGTCCTCTTCCCCTTGGCTGTGTAGATAAAATTGTGCATTCAAATGATGGTACTTTGACTTTTGAGGGTTTTTATTTCTGTTATTCACCAAATAGTCATTCTCATTTATGTATATTGTGTGTTTAACCCCCCAGTGGGATTTCTGGCCGCTGAAATCGCTTTGGGCCAGGAAAAACAAGGATGAAGAGGTTCCTGTCATTTCTTATGGAGTTCACAGAATTATTTGGGGCTTAAGTAGTACAATGGAGACAGTCACGTGCAATGCTTAAGGTGGTCTAACGGGGTCCCTTTTGCTGGAGGTGTTCCTGAAGAGATTGAACCTAGTAACAGGCTTTATTTTCATCTTGTGTACAACATGACAAAGACTGCTAAGATTAAAATCCGTCTCCCATTTGTTGCAGCCTCACCTACACCAGGATAGAAAGCACATGATGGAATCTGTGATGTCTAATGTGTCTTATGAAAATAGCCAAACAACTGTCCCTGGGGATTCTACATTGATTGGCATTTTTAGTCATGGGAATGTATTTTTGCAGAAATACCTGCTTTGTGTTTGGGCCTCTCTTGCTGTCATTATGATGTATTTTGAGATGATTAGTCAAGAGTCAAGGTTGAGAGTACAGGCCAAGACCATGGAAAAAAATCCATGCTCGCTGGCCAATAAAGAGCTTGATGCTGCCTGGCCAAATAAGGTGATTCAGATAGAATCTGATCCCATTCAGAGCTCGGTAACTGTCACTGTACAGAAGACATTGAAAAGGAAGTGGCATAGTCATGATCACAAGGATATATTGACAGTTATCTATAGCCAGGGTAGTTGTTAATACCTGCTTGTTTGGGGAGATATGTTTGATTATAGAGAGACTCTGGGCTACCCTCAAACACCATCAGATGCAATTAGCAGCCCACGGCATGGGACAATCGCAGGCAGCTACGAGGATTGTATCCCCTGCCTATTTTCCTTGTGTATCAAATGGAAAACATTCTCCCCTGTGAGAAAGAATGCAGTTTCTAATTATCTGGATGTTCGTTGAAAATATATTAGACATTCTCCCTGAGGTTACAAACAAAGCCTATAATGTGACCTGTCTGGTAAAAAGTATTAATGAAGTAGCTCATATTACAACTTCATTTTCTACTAGCACCTATCATAATAGTCTTAGTCATTTCAAACAAATCAGAACTTCCCCACCAGGGAGGACAACTTCATGCTGTGATCGAAGCATCCATTCAGAACACGAGGCAATATTATAGTCCACAGGGAATGGATGCTTCACTTGATCGCCGGACCTCAGCTGCAGAGGCCATCGCAGCTCTTGAAAAGTGAAGTGGTTAATTTCCATTGCCATCTTTGCTTATAGCATTTTTCTCTAACCTATAACAAGGAGACATTACGTTTTACTTTAGAACATGAGAATAGCAGTTTTGCTCACGATTTACCATTCCAGCTGCAGGGGAAAGCAAAGCAGAAAACAGTGCCCCAAACGGAAAAAAGATACTTACACAGAACAAAACAGTTCTTGGTCTTTTTCTTGGTCTTGTCAAACCTTGCCTGATGCTCTTTCTAAAGTCAAAATACGAATGCTAAGAAGGCATAACCTACATCCTTCTCTGATTTCTTCAGCAGGGTCAAAAGACAGTTACCAGCAATGGGGAATGCTTGTCACTGTGGAGAAAGAGTTTTGTACATCTCTGGTACCGTTGTTATAACAAATCAGATTTTCTTACTATAGTTTTTTGTTTTCTAGCTACACACCCACCAGAAGAGCACAAAGGAAGGCCATCGCAACAAGCATTTTAAAATTAATATCAAACATGCACATGCGTGGACACACACACACACACACACACACACGAGGGCATTTGTAAAGGTGTCCCTGGAATGTAAGATTTATAACCGTTTAAGGCAAGGTGAAGGCATTGCCAACTGTGTGTGCCTCATAGGACTAGTGTATATTCACTGAAAGTTGACCTGATGATTTGTTATTGTTTGAACCATATGCTGATTTGCTTCTGGTTTCTCTTTAGTGTGTTCTCTCTGACAAGGGGCTGGAAGATTCTGCATCACACATCCTCTGAGACCTACCATGTCGCACACTTTGTTAATGACAAACTTCACTCTACACTATACAGTACCTTGTTGATATATTCAGTAAAGTCTTATTTTAAAAGAAAACCACATTGTGTTTATCTGAGTAAGTTCATTGGGATATAGTCAATACTTGTGCTGTTAATGTAGAATAAATGATGCAGGAGGGCAGGAATAAAGGAAGTAATAGGATTTTTGTATTCTCCTATCATGAAGGTGACTTGCATTTCTAAAGGCCAGTTGATCCTTTTTGTGTGAGGAGTTTATATGAAATCCTCATGTTCTTTTAAATTTCCTAACTAAATTGTGTGTTCCTATGAATACACACATACACAAGAGCATTTTATTTCATATTGGTGAAATCTATGTTGTTTAGGATATAGACAATGACATTGTACTTATCAGAATAGTCTTTTCCTCTATTCAAAATAGATGCTATTGGCTTTATTTTTTATTTTTTAATTTTGTTTAAACAAGGTGTCACCATGTTGCCCAGGCTGGTCTCAAACTCCTGGATGCAAGCAATCATCTCGCCTCGATCACCCAAAGTGCTGGGATTACAGGCAGAGGACACCATGCCCAGCCACACTGTTGTTTTTAAATGTCAGTTTTCTTTAAGAATTCTCATAGTACTTTTCTGCTTCAGAGTTTATAGCACATCCATCCATCCTTTCAGTAGGCACTCATGGAAATGTAAGTCCATGCTCAAGTTCTGTTCTGATTAGTCTTACGATTTTTCAGAACCCCTTTTTGCTAATCCCTCTTGGCCATTTTATTAATAATGTATTTGACAGAGATTGAATCAGGAAACGTGACATTTCAGTTAACTAGTATTACCTGTTTGTAGAATCTCTGTTGGAACATCGACTATGAAAGACAGTGCTAACAGGTAATTCATATTACGTTTGGGGAATTAATGTAAAGTAACATCCATGCTATTCTTGATTTGCCAAGAGTTACAGACCTTATTCTGTGCAGACTAAACCATTAGTCAAAAAATACCGTTCATTCAAAAATAATTTATTAGTGTCTTCCTACACTGTTCCAAACACTAGGCTGAGTTCGGAGGCCTCACAGAATAATGAAATGCGTTCTTAGCCAAATCAGGCAAATCTCCCTCACTATGTCCCTGAAGAAATCTCTTCATCTGATATATTTACTATTCATCTCCTTTGTATAGCACTATGTTAGGGTCTTCTGGGGATTCAGAGAAAAAGGTCTGGGAGCCATTAAGGAACTCACAGATCAGGTAATAAACACTTTTTCTCATGCATTCCAGTGTCTCAGAGACTGTGTAATTACTTTATACTACTTCGTTAAACTGACAGAACATCTAAGGTGACAAAAGAGATGTTTCCACCTGTTGGTAAGGTTGATGCACCTGTCATATGTTAGATGTTCTTGGTTTTTAATAGATGCAGCAATGAGAGAGTACATTGATAAAGTCAGAACTTAATTTGAATTAAATTTTCAAGTTTCCAAAAAGTATTTGAAAACTTTGAAATTGTATTTGGTGATTACACATGCAGCCGTTTAAATTTTTATTGAGCATCTCAATGGAAATCAATCTAAAGGAGTAATAATGACACCTGACAATTACTAACAACCTTTGTTTATGTAAGACCTTGTGCAAACTGTGTGATAACATATGTTTGCATTTTGTCTTTAAAATAACCCTGTAAGGTGCATTATTTTAATTTTTAGATCTTAAAACTTAGCTTCAAGAGTAATTAAGTGATTAGTCTATAGCTACAAATCCTATAAATGGCAGAGTCAGGAATTACCCCTGAGCATGACTCTATGGACTCTTAATTGTTTTCCTGCCTCTTAATAAATTGACCATCCTTGAGACTGACTGGCTGTCAGATTTTTCATGGTGGAGCTATCACAACTTCTCAGTGGATGCATATATTATTATGGCAAATCAAGGGAAAATTTTGGAAACCTCAAAATTCCTGTCTTTTAAAGCCCTTGGTCATCCATTCCTATTTTTTATAAAAATTCTTTTTGTGATTATTTGATGGCTGCACACTTACCTGATTTGAAAGTTTCAGATGGAATCAAGATATGTCTATACCCATAGGGTGAGCTCAAAGAGCCGTTAAAAGGTCTTGAGTTGGGTTATTTTTAGTAATGAATTTGTTTCATACTTGAGATGTTGCTCTAAGTATTTTGTAGATTCCGCTGAAAAAGCACATATGTCACAATCTATTAGGGCATTAGTAAACTGGCTTCTGAATTTATGCTCTTATTTTTTTTCCATAACATAGATAAAAATGTGTGCTTTAGGGGATATTATATAAGCTTTATTTTCATTGGCTCTGCTGAAAGTTAAGGATACAAAAGTTTTTAATGGTAATACCCCAAACTATATGTCATTTTAGCACACACATACCAACTGGTGATCATACCTGTCTATTTTTGTTTTGTTTTGTTTTGATATGAAGTCTAAACTAGATGAAAACCTCAATATATCCTTAGGGGAATTCTTATTATTTCAATGACATAATAAACCTCCGTATTGGGTCACTCTTTTCTTAATATAAAACTATGCTGGCTCAGAAAGTCTTCTAAACTCCCTAGTTGGGATAGGATGGGCCTTTGTTGGTTTGGTTTTGATTTCATTCAGCAAATATTTACGGAGGCCTAGTAAGTTCTGGTACTGAATAAGAATGTTTTCCAGGAGAGTTAGATTTTGCACATCAAAAGTCTTTCTGGGAAGCTGCTGGTTTTTAACACTCTTTCTGGGCCTGGACTCTTTCTGCCTCTTTGCTTTCTTTGAGCACTCACACCGCTGTATTTAAATAATCAGCCTAGGATTCTGCTAGTTCCAGCACTAGAGAGGTCTCAACTGTTTTCTCCTCTCGGTTCCCCGACTCTGACTTGGTTAACACCCTTCCTTTAGTCTTTTTCTAATTTAGCCTTTCCAACACATTGAAGGACAAATGGTAATCATAATCTATAAGGAATGGTACTGTAGTGCTTGCAAAATATGCATTTTTATTGCTTGCAAGATAGAATTCAAACTCTTTGTGTGACATATGTGTCCTACTGCACGTTGCTCCAACATTCCTTACCAATATTGTCTCCTCCATTACATGCTGTAGATTATATATATATGTGTGTATATATATACACATATATATGTGTGTGTGTATATATATGTGTGTCCATATATATATGTGTGTGTGTGTGTATATACATATGAATGACATGAGCAAACAAAATGCTTTCAGTTTATCTTCCTGGGATCTCAAGCTCCTTCAGACCACTGTATATTTGCTGAAGGTCTTTCATCCTATGACATTCCCCTTTGCCTGATGATATATTTATCCTTTAAGATGCCAGTCAAATTCCTCTCTTCCAAAGCTGCTGGAATCACACCTGCCAATTATCTGACCCCTTTGTGCAGTTAATACAACTTTAAAATACTTTTATTTTTAGCACCTATATATTGCAATTTTTTGTGAGTCTGCTTCATGCCTATACACTAGGGTCCCTGGAGAGAGAGAGAATGTATTCTGTAAATTGTTGTACGTCATCCAGCATTGAGAGCCATGCCCAGGCCCTGGTAGGTGCCCAGCTACAGGGGAAGAGCCACTCTGTCAGTAGCTTATGGCCAGATGGCTTTTTTTTAAGCCCCAGAAAGAGCTGCAGAGTTCTGACTTATGCAACATTAGCCTTGCTCAAACACCACAGTATGCATTTTACAAGAAAAAACAAACATATATATTTTCTTTAAAATCTCTTGATTCCTCATTAACATTTTTAAAAGAAATGTTTTTATGATTATTTGGTGGCCATGCATCTGATTTGAAAGCTTTAGATGAAATCAGTATATGTCTACATTCACAGGGTATGCTGAGAGAACAATTAAAATGACTTGAATAACATCTTTTTATTTTTTCTTTTTTTGAGTTGAAATCTCACTCTCTCACCAGGCAGGAGTGCAGTGGCACGATCTTGGCTCACTGCAACCTCTGCCTCCTGGGTTCAAGTGATTCTCCTGCCTCAGCCTCCTGAGTAACTGGGACTATAGGCGTGCGCCACCATGCCAGACTAATTTTTTGTACTTTTAGTAGAGACGGGTTTTGCCATGTTGGTCAGGCTGGTCTCGAACTCCTGACCTCAGGTGATATGCCCATCTAGGCCTTCCAAAGTGCTGGGATTACAGGTGTGAGCCACTGTGCCAGGCCAAGAATATCCTTTTTATATATTGCAGACAAACTCAAAACTGAATCAGCTTACAGAAAAGCATACAAAAAGGTATCTTTAAAAATCACCTTAAGGCCAGGCACGGTGGCTCACGCTTGTAATCCCAGCACTTTGGGAGGTCGAGGTGGGCAGATCACAGCGTCAAGAAATGGAGACCATCCTGGCCAACATGGTGAAACCCCATCTCTACTAAAACTACAAAAAATTAGCCAGGCTTGGTGGTGCATGCCTGTAGTCCCAGCTACTCAGAAGGCTGAGGCAGGAGAACTGCTTGAACCCAGGTGGCGGAGGTTGCAGTGAGCTGAGATCGTGCCATTGCACTGCAACCTGGAGACAGAGTGAGACTCATAAAAAAAAAAAAAAATCACCTTGCAACAAAATATCACCATCATGAAAAGTCCACAAAGCACAAGTAGACACCAAGTTAAACATTTTGACAGTTTGCTAGTCAAAATGAATTCTTTGCATGTGAAAAGCAGAGAGATTTTTTTTTATCAGCAAAATCGAAAGAGACAGTCATTATTCACTATGTCATATCCCATATAAAAATATAGCATATATCATTTAAAGGTTCATGTCGTGTTATCTTGGTTATTGCCATGAGAATAAATAGTCTTTCCTAGAAATGATATGCTCCTAAAGAAGAAGGGAGTGGAGAGTGGTAGTTATTAAGACATCAGTTTGAAATCAAGCTGACTTATTTTGGAATCCTGCTTCAACCACTGACCTGCCAACTGACCTTGGCAATAACTTGCACTTTATGGTTATCAGTGTAATTTTCCTAAAATGGAGACGATGGTGTCTAACACATATGGTGGTTGTCAGAATTAAAGGCATGTATAGTAGTTGACACAGTATCTGGTACTGAGTATACA